TTGGACCTGAAGTCAGGAGCCTTGCTCTTGAATGCCAATTTAGCTTGTCTGTGAAGTGTTGTTTCTTGTGGTTGTGGCACAGTTCTGGCAACAAGCATGAGTCCAGATCACCATGTCATTCAAAAAAGCTTATATTTCTGTGAAAACCTTCCACCTTTGAACCATTAAACACCATCCTAGATTGTCCTAGAATATCCCAGCATTCCCACAGTGAACATGAATTTGTCTTCACTGGTGAGGTCAGCTGCTCCCTTATTATCCAGTATGGAAACAATAAACATTTAAATTTCTCAATTAAAAGAAGAGGGATGATATGTGGGGATGTTCTAAGCGAGTCAGTAAAAATATGCAGGAGCCATGAAGTTAAAATACCGTGTTGGTGTCAGGCTTTCTTTGTTTACCACCAACCTATAAAATAGCTAGGAAACGCTTCTCTTGCTGAAATATACAAACAAAGGGGGCATGAGTGAGAACTTCAGTCTGTCTTGCTAGGTTTGTGTATCTTCTCCCTTCTTCACTGCATACTGTGTCATATGGTATAAGTATGCTTACAAATGCCTTATTTCCAATTCCAGAGAGAACAACTTGGCTTTTAGACTTACATGTTGTCAAATAGCCGATTAAATAAGATTTTCCATTTTTTAAGAGGTATTAGGGTGTTGTCTAGATAAAATATCTGTCATCGTATCACACTAGTACATCTGTTGACTAGATTTAACTGAACCTAAAATTATAAGGTGGTTAGGACAGCAGATTTGGAATGGGATGAAAAACTAGGCAGACAGCTCAAGGAGTCACTATAGTGTTTATTACTTGTGGTGTTAGCTTAAAAAATGACATTTATAGTTCAGACAGGTCCTTTCATATTTAAAAAGGAAGTTTTAAAGTATCAATTAATTTTAATGAGCAGTCTCTCTACTGATATGCACATATATATCCCTAAAGACATTCCAACTGTATTTATCAACATCTGGAAGCAGTATTGGGAAAACCACATGCTTAGTTCCTAACTTCAAACATTTTTTTGAAAGGAACCTTTTGTAAATTATGGAAGGAGGCTATGAATAGTTACCAGAAAAACATACTTTTCAGTATATTATAATGTATTATGAGTTATTAGGGAGTCAGATGCATGAAACTCAACTCTAGAGCGATTTGGAGCTTAGAAAAAAAATATCAGCAAGAATGGAAATAGATTAGAAGAGCTGAATATACTATTGTAGTCACTGAAAGGCTTTCTTCCTCCCTCCCTCCCTCCCTCCCTCCCTCCCTTCCTTCCTTTCTTCCTTTCTTCCTTCTTTTTTTTCTTCTTCTTCTCTCTCTCTTTCTTTCTCTAACATTTTAGTGTCCACACTGCTAGCACACACTCCAAAGATGAGGTTAATTGATCCTTTCTCCAATCAGAAGAATAGGAGACTTTTATGGACAAGCAAAAACTTTAAAAATCTAGATCTGCATGTTGAGAAGCATGGGAGAAATGGATGGGAAAGGAAAGAAGAGAGAGGAAGAAAGGAAAAAGAGAAAATCTGCTTCAGAGGAAAGCCAACACCAAAAGTGGCAGACACTGGTAGACAGGGAGCTGAGAATAGAATGGTAAGAAATAAATAATGCAGAACTGTGACATTCATGATGCACATCAGAACTCATGAATTCACTAGTTTGTTCTTTCAAACCGTGTTTATTGAGTTAATACTATGTGTCTGCTGCTAGGAGAATCTTGAAAGAGTGAGAGGTGGATAAATACTGTCCCTGGCTCTGTCCTCCAGGTGCTCATTGATGGGTGAGGGTAGGAGAGTGTGGATACATTACAGGTGCGATGCTATATGCATGAAAGTGTTACAGTGGACACATAAAGGAGGAGCTCATTTCCTTTCCTTGGGAAATAAGAGGAGAAGGCTAGAAAAGTTTCCGTGGAATAGGTGACATGAACTGAGCCTTATAGATTATGTACTTCTTTACAGTTTCTGGCATAGTACAGTGGAACTGTTAAAAAATCCTACCAACCCCAATAAGCTGTGAGCATAATGGTACCTGAGCCATCTAAGAAAAGTTTTTATGTTCATTACAACTTGTGTGTGTTTTAAGACTTAATTTAGTGGCTATATGTACTCTGTCAACTTTCTTTGATCACCCTGGCTTGAACTGTCCTAATTTGAATTATCATAGTATCTTGGACCATGTTTAGTCTATACACCGTAGATCATACTGCTTTCCACTGCACATAATTTCCCCCACTACTGGGTTATAAATTCTCCAAGGTCCTTGAAACACTTCTATTGTAAATTATGGCATACAGAATTGAATTTACAGTTTCAAAATAGTGAATAAATGTGCGAGGACCCTTGTCACCTCAAAAGATGATTTTTTGATTTTGTGGAAAATGTAATACTCATTTCTAAGCCCTCTCTATTACAGAATTGTGAATGTTAGGTTCAACCTGTATCCTAGCACTACTTTAACTCATTATTGAAAAATAAGCACATCTGAAAGTTAGGGAAGAAGACTGTAGGTATTAGTTTTGGACCATGTATCCTGTCAGAAAAATGTTACCTGTGGTCAGGAAATACACTTTGGGGAAATTGTGGTGCAGCCCTAGCCCTAGATTTCTGTTCAGAGTGGATCACTGAGGGAGAATGGAAATCATTTACAGTGGTACAAAATTTATCTGTGAAGGCAGCTTCATTGCTCTCCCATCTTACGAGAAAGATGGATAAGGCAAATGTCCACAGCTCTGTTCTGCCTTTGGAGTCTGTAATGTGTTTTAGGTTCTGGTTGTTTACAGCTGTGATTCCTGGAGTTGGCTGCACATTTGGATTCTTAGATCCTTGACCTACTGAACCAGAATTTCTGAGCAAAGGAACAGGGAATCTAATTTGTATTAGATTCTCTAAGTTCTCTAAGTAATTTGGTTGGTGATCCAGGGTGGTAAGCCACTGGTGAATAACAAGCCATTTGTATTACCTAAATAGATGGCATTGATTCTAAAATATAAGAATGTGAGATGGACTGTTTCCTCATTAAATTCACCCATTGGTCAATGTTGATGAACAGGAGAGTATTCAAAGACCCTAGGTTTAAATTTCTGTTTGCATTATGGGATTCATATTTCCATCTAATGATCTAGGGCTCAATAGTTTTCTCTCTGGGAAGTTCACCTTACCTGTCTCAGAAATTTCCTGTGGGTGGGGAGATGTGTTTTTTTTCTCGTAATTGAGAATGTAGGTCAGAGTGTTTGTGAAAACTACTCTGCAAATTGAAAATGTTACAGCATATAAAATCCAGGACATTATTAATATTGCTATTATTTCTACCTACTAATTACCTGAAGACCTGTTCATCCACTAAAACCCAATTTTTAAATTGAGATTGTAAGGAATTTATAACCTTATCTGAGTAGCCATCATTCTAACAACTTTCCTTTTAATGTTTACATGGTCAAATGTACCCAGTGCAGAATCATACCATACGGATGAATAGGAAACACATAAAAAGTGGGCCATTCTACATTCTTTGGGAAGGAGGAGGACAAATAACAAGAAATGCAAGAATGAAGCAATTTTAATGTGTTTAAAATTAATTAAAAGATAAAGGGAACTCCAAGTCTTATAAACTAAAGTGCCTTGAAGATTAATTTTGGTATTAAGCATTTTTAAAAAGTGTGTTGTCATCGCTTCTCGGCCTTTTGGCTAAGATCAAGTGTAAAAAGTGTGTTGTCAGGTAAAGGAGATAAGGAACAATTACATTTTTAAAAATGTTTAATCTTAAGCAAAAAAATGCTTAAAAACTCAAATTTAGAGCTTTAAAAGACAAATATAAGTTTCCCAACTGAAAGGAATAGAGAAGAAATTCCTCCTTCTTAAGAATCTGATAAACCTTAATGAGCAACCTCCCAAAATATTTAAATTTTCAGGGAAAAACCCCTGAAAAATACAAATAACCCTGGTATCCAGGTAATCAGAAATCACAGCATATACTCAAACAAATGCACTAGTACTTAAAATTGGTTGAAAATTATCACTGGATTCATTAAAATTTTTTAGACATTAAGGGAAGATACACTGATATTTTCTAAGTTGTCAGTGTTTTTAGAGAGACTTTGCATGAAGAAGTTTTGCTAGCTACTGGACATTCTAAAATACTTCCAAGAATAAAATTGAAATTACCATACTGAAACTAGAATTTATAATTTCCAAATATGCTGTAGCTGTTTTCCCACAGTGAAATTCTTGATAAGAGAAATATCCCAAATCATGGCCTACAGAAATGAGTCAAAACGTGCTGTTATGCTAAGAAGTTGAAATAAAATTATTCTTGTCAAACTGTAATATAATGGCATTAATTTGCTATTACAATATCTCTCTATTTTAAAAGTTAGGCATTATCTGTAGTTTTTGCTTTTTTACAAGCAGAATGAAATTCAATAAGACATTAAAATATATGTTTGACCAGCGGAACTCCACTCTCATCTGAAAATTTAGTTGATTTGTAAACAACATTAATGGAATGTTGGCTGTCTCATTATGCTTATTTAATAAGGGAAACAATTAAAATATGGAGCCATGGAAACAGTGACTGTTGGGGAGTTAAGGAATTCACATTAGCTGGTCAGATAGTCAGATTTATCAGTATATTTTAAGACATGATATTTTATTTTCTTGGTGCTTATGTAGATATAGATATTATTGACACTTATAATTCATTATCTCTGTACAAAGAAAGAAAATAAAACAAAAATACTAACTAGTAAGACATGTTATTAATTAATAAGACATGCTAAATACAAACACTTTTTTTACAGGGTTGTAGAGCCAGCTATTGTTAAATATATTAAGCAAGAACTAGTTTTTAAAGCTTGGAGATTATAGTTATTCATTCTGAAAGAACATGTCTCGTGATTTTACTCTTTGTTACTTATTTTCACTTAAGCAGGTTTACATTTCTTTGAATCCTGTAGGTGAGGAAAATAGAACATGGTATCAGAATTTTGCTTAATTTGATGGAGGTCAAGATGTGGTTAGCCGGGGAGGAGCCCACAATACTAGGATGGAGATGAGTTTGCTGGTTTACATACCAGCAAGAGTGGACTATTACCTTGTCTCAGTTGAAGGCAGATAAAGGCAGTACCATCCCCATGACCTAGAAAAGGGGACAATTTAAACCCATTAGTGTGGAAGCCCATTCAGAAACATTTTCTATGAACGATGGGAGGGCCAGCCTCGTCATATTCCTGCTTACTGATCCACATCTGCTGGAATGTGGACAGGCTGGCCAGAATGGAGCCCCCGATCCAAACGGAGTACTTCCGCTCTGGTGGCGCTATGATTTTGATTTTCATGGTGCCAGGGGCCAGGGTGGCGATTTCCTTTTGCATCCGATCAGCAATGCCAGGGTACATAGTGCTACCTCCAGACAACACGGTGTTGGCATATAGGTCCTTGCGAATATCCACATCACACTTCATGATAGAGTTGAAAGCTGTCTCGTGGATCCCACTGGACTCAATGCCCAGAAAGGAAGGATGAAAAATGGCTTCAGGGCACCGAAAGCGTTCATTCCCAATGGTGATCACCTGCCCATCAGGAAGCTCATAGCTTCTTTCGAGCGAGGAGGATGCAGCAGCACTGACCATCTCTTGCTCAAAGTCCAGGGCCACATAGCACAGCTTCTCTTTGACATCACGAACGATCTCCCGCTCAGCTGTGGTGGTAAAGTTGTAGCCTCGTTCTGTCAGGATCTTCATGAGGTAATCAGTCAGGTCTCTGCCGGCCAGATCCAGACGTAAAATGGCATGGGGCAGGGCATACCCTTCATAGATGGGCACAGTGTGAGTAACGCCATCCCCAGAATCCATCACGATGCCTGTGGTCCGTCCAGAGGCATAGAGGGACAGCACAGCCTGGATAGCCACATACATGGCAGGTGTGTTGAAGGCCTCGAACATGATCTGAGTCATCTTTTCCCTGTTGATCTTCGGGTTGAGGGGTGCCTCGGTGAGGAGGATGGGATGCTCATCCGGTGCCACACGGAGCTCGTTGTAGAAAGTGTGGTGCCAGATCTTCTCCATATCATCCCAGTTTGTGACCACTCCATGCTCAATGGGGTACTTCAGGGTCAAAATACCTCTCTTGCTCTGGGCTTCATCCCCCACGTAGCAGTCCTTCTGGCCCATGCCGACCATGACGCCCTGGTGCCGGGGACGCCCTACCATGGAGGGGAACACAGCCCGGGGGGCATCGTCACCACCGAAGCCTGCCTTGCACATCCCTGACCCATTATCCACCACCAGGGCAGACAGATCGTCATCGGTCATGATGCAGGCTGGAATCTTCCAGACAGCAGGACAGAAGTTAAACAGAGAGTAAATACCTGACTATGGTGTGCAAGAGAGAGAAGGAACAGGCTGAAAACACCCCAGAACTGCCTCCAGACAGGGGAGACTGTGCTGTGATGACAGGTATTTAAAGGTACGGACTGGCCGCACCCATGTCTTATTCCAGCACTTCCCAGCATTTCTGGGTGGCGTTGCCTTTGAGGTATTAATGATGATGATTATATAAATCATTAGTAGACCTTCCTTCATAAAAAGAAAATTGGCTACCAACTGGCCGTATCCCAGGTTACTGTAATTAGGCAACCCACACATGGCTGTCAGGGTGTTTTGGTGAGGTCTCTAGATAACTAGGGTGGTGCAGTGGGGGGGTATAAAGCCAGATGAAAGATAGCTAGTGCTAGGTGTGAGCTATACCACCAGAAAGCCACTTCCTCCTCCATTTACCCGCTGGCTTCCTTTCCTCCATCCTAGTTTTAACTTTTCATTCTCAAGGTATTATTCTTATGAGAAGTCTGACTCAGCAAACTTCAAAGTTTCAAGATTTTTCTTGCCCATTACATTTCTAGTTCCACAGGATGTCATCATGATAGAAAAACTTTTTTAATGAATGAAAATAATGAATTACCAAAGGTGGCTTGACAATTGTAGTTATAATGTGTCTGTGCTATGCAGAAATTAGGGATATTTAATAATCTCTGCTATATTAGAAGTGATTGATAAAGTTATCAATAAAGTAAACCACTACAGATTTTTCTTTCTTGACATAAATTTTTAATAACCAAATTTCATTTAGCACTACAATTTTTTTT